GAGATTAAGAAGAAAACTTTTGTGTACCAATCCTCATAATTTATATATATTTACTTAATTTGGGGTATTTCTATATGTGATAAAAATATTTTTCTCACCTTTAATTTTCATTTTCAGTTATATCATACGTATTTTAATTTTATTATTTTGCTTCTTAAATTCACAACTACTGAAAATCGATATAACGAATTTAATTATTATAACTATTGCTCATTTCCCCCCTCTTATAATTAAAGACAAAATACAAATAATTAAACCCACTTTGTAGATACAATAAACCATCACAACATGATATTTTGAAATTCAATGTTTGCTAGAGTGTCTTGGTCTTCTCCAACAATTCTGACTATATATTTAGTTGGCATTTTAAAATCTCAATCTGGCAAAAAAAAAAATAAAAAGATAAAACAATTATTTGGCCCAATAGGTAAAAAGAGGAAGTGATGATTGCAATTTTAGTCTGCGTGATTTTAAAATAGGAAAAAACAATATTCTTTTTAACCCACAAAAAATGACCAATCAATGTTAGAATAATCACGATCAAAGACTTTCATAATTCTTGGTGAAAAAAAAAAAGACTTTCCTAAATTATGTACGGGATAATTATTCATTTTGCAACTACGATGCTGATTCCACATCTAATGAATAGATTAAATAAAATACAAGCACTTGACTAGTTAACAAAACCCCTAAATCCAGTTTTCATATACGACTACGACCAGTCAGAGTACTGGAAAATGAAACTCTTAACTCAATAAGCAATGCTTTTCTTTGGGTTAAGCAAAATGTCAATTTTTTTTTGGTAAAATGAACAGTAATTAACTCGCTTACTAGTAACTTATGGTAGACAAATTTAATCGTTAGACATATATATACTAATATATACGTATTTAGAAATTGAAATTTCATAATTATAGCAATTAAACGATACGAGTCGCTCGTTAGCTCAGATCGGATCGTTTGATACATGACCTACTCTCGAAATTATTTAAAACGCATTTAGTTAACAAACCGGACTTGACTCAATAATAGGCTCGTTATTGACTCGTTAAGGCTCGAAAGAGTAATTTTTACATATTTTCTATAGTTTAGCTTATTAATGCTCTAACTCGGTTCATTAATATCGATAAGCGAGTTGAGCACAAGCTCAATAACTGGCTCGTTGAGTTAACAAGCGAGCTAGAGTCGACTTGTTACTATCTCGAGTTCAAGTATCATAATGTCAGCTTGGCTTAACTCGTTTATACTCTTAATCATACACAAACAATATAAATAAAAATATAACATATAATATAATATGTATTTTTATAAAAACAGTAAAATGTAATGTATTGTCTTGTCCAACTGTTACGCCGGAAAAAAAAAATAGTAAAAAAAATCGATGGTAAGTCAACGGAGCAAAATAAATGTCTTACAGTACGTGTGCACACCTATAAACTCAAGAGACTCCATTGGAGATTTTATTTTGTTTATCTTTTTTTTAGTAACAACACATGACATGTGCAGATGCCAATTATCTTACACAATTTGTCAGCACAGCAGATACACGGACAACCCATCACGTTCACGTTTACGCAATTTTAATAAAACAAACAATCTTAATTCCACCAATAAACGCACTTAAAAAATATAAAATAAAAAGAAGAAAAAATATAAGGAAGATAATTTCGTAACGGGCTCCGATATCCATCTGCCCTCCACCGTAAACAGGCAGAAAATAAATTTAGTCAAGATAATGAATTATTAACAATATTATGAAAATTCAACAGTAAGATTAGCATCTTATTAATATTACATAAATAAGAGATGATGCCAAATTGCAAAAATCACACCCTGCAAAACTTGGAATAAATATTTAAAAGATACCCAAGTGGAAATTTAATAGTTTCTCTCTTGGAGATATGGCAAGGTAATAATTACACNNGTTCAACAAAGACATGGACCAATACAGCCATATGAAAAATGTCATGATTAGTGTTTTTAGAAATTACTGGCCTAAAAATTATAAAGACATTTCCGAAACTTTATACTATTGTTATTTCATGATCAATTAGACAATAATTTACCCCATACAACTTTTTTTGTATTCTCAATTATGAACTTTTTTTGACAATCATTGTGCATTATGCCATATCAAACTAAATCATATAATGCAAGTATGATTGTTAATTCACCAATAAACTCTATAACCAAGCTATATCATGTACCATTTAACATTAACAGTGTTTGGTAAACAACATAAAATAATTTATTATTTATTTAGTTAGTTTATGAATTTCTTATATTCAAATATGACTAATTTGTTAGAATGACATCATTAAAAAAATTAAACTTATTGTAATTTTTATTTCAACAGACTTATCATCTAACTATTACGAAATAATTTTAGTATATCATCTAATTTTTCAACTATGATCCATATGTTATAAGCTTGAAATTCACTTACAAGCTAACATATCAATCATCACCTAACATTTCAAATAAATGTACCTAACCTACCGTAAGTATCACAAATAGCCCCTTAATCATAAATGGGTATCAGTATAAGAAACATGTCTTGGGTAATTTCAAGACATAATTAAGTTTTTCAAACACATGATTATATCTTAATATGCACAATTGAAATTTTATTCCTAAACTGTAATTGATCAATTGTATCAAACACAGTTCACTCTTTACAGACCTCCCCACAAATCACAACCACGTAAAACTCCCATTCAAAACGATAGTAACATATTGCAATAGTAAAACACTGATGCGTATAAGATTAAAAAAACAAAAAGAATTAAAAACGAAAGTCCACCATCCAACCCGTCCCCCCAAAAAGTAAACGCCTTATTGATAATTTAGGCCTCCAACTTTCTTTAATGTTATTTTGCCCCCACGTCAACATCACTCCCCCTCTCTCCTCTCTCCTCTCTCCTCTTTAATGGCAGATTAAAATCTCTGCAAAAACAACCCCAGATGAAGCAAAGACTACAAAGTGCTGTCTCATTTTTTTATTTTTTGTTTGTATTTTTAAAATTCTTTTTCAATTTTCCCCTCAACTAATGTCTTCTTTGCTTCTNAAACATGCTCTTGATGACCAATCCCATCCATCCTATTCCTCCCTCTACACTTCCCTCACCCAATATTCATCTTCTCATAGATTTATTGCTCAAAACAATATTAACATCTCTAGCTTTTTTATCCGTACATACCTGCCACGGCGCGTGTGATCCACTGGATCGCGACTCGCTGGCCTCGTTCAATCTAAGCCTCTCGTTCGCACCCCCGCTCGGTTGGGATCCTCCGCTCGACTGCTGTGATTGGGAAGGAATCACCTGTGACAGCTCGGGCCGGGTGATCGGCCTGTGGCTTCCCTCGAGAGGCCTTTCTGGTAACATACCTCAATCCCTTACCAACCTCACTAGACTCACCCAACTCAGCCTCTCTCACAACTGGCTATCGGGCCCTTTACCGGCCCGTTTTTTCGAGCTCTTAAACCAACTGCAGGTTGTCGACCTGAGCCGTAACCGTTTAATCGGTGAGGTGGCCGAATCGGACGAACTTCCCTCCACTCTGCGGATATTCAATTTATCGAGCAATCACTTTCGCGGCACGATCGAAGGCTCGTTTCTCGCGAAAGCGGCAAATTTGGAGACTTTCGATGTCAGCAACAACAGTTTTATCGGGACAATCCCGACGATTGTCTGCGGGTTCTCACGATGGATCCAACGGCTCGATTTTTCGAACAATGACTTTACGGGCACTTTAGGCTCGGGTTTTGGTCAGTGCACGAACTTACAGAGCCTCAGGGCTGGATTCAATAATCTATCAGGCGGGGTGCCACCGGACATTTACCAATTATCGACACTGGAGGAATTGTACTTGCCTGGGAACCACTTTGCGGGTCCCATCGACCCGCGGGTCGTCAGTCTCGGTGGGCTTAGAATCCTCGCGCTCTTCGGCAACGAGCTGGCGGGTCCAATCCCCGAACAAATCGGGCAGCTTAACAGACTGGAACAGCTGCAGCTTCACATAAACAAATTAAACGGCACGATACCAGCCTCGCTGGCCAACTGCACGAACCTGACCGTGCTGAACTTGAGGGTCAACCTGCTGGAGGGGGAGCTCGACTCTTTTAACTTCTCAACATTCGTGCAGCTAAAACTGGTCGACCTCGGGAATAATTTTTTCCGAGGCGGACTACCGAGGTCACTCTTCACGTGCAGGACGTTGACAGCTGTTCGTCTCGCGACCAACAACTTGTCGGGCGAGATTTTGCCCGAGATAGGATCTCTCCAGTCTCTCTCATTCCTCTCCATATCCAACAACAGTCTAACAAATCTGACGAACGCGATTAGAATCCTCAAGGGCTGCACGAGTCTGAGCACGTTGATACTGTCCAAAAATTTCTACAATGAGTCACTGTCTGATGAGGAGACCTTGATCGGTTTTCAGAATATCAAGGTATTGGGTTTTGGCGGTTGCAATGTCTCGGGCCCGATCCCTACGTGGATACGCCAGCTGGTAAAGCTTGAGGTTATTGATTTATCGTTTAACTTTTTCACGGGCCAAGTGCCAACCTGGTTTGGGAGCCTGCCGAACCTTTTTTACTTGGATTTGTCGCATAATCTTCTCACGGGGTATTTCCCGCTTGAGCTTATCCAGATGAGGAAATTGTCGTATCAGCAGAATTCGAATGAAGTTGGGAGCACGACTCTGGAGCTGCCCGTGTTTGTGAAGCCTGATAACGCCTCCAATCAGCAGTACAACCAGCTCTCGAATTTACCGCCGGCCATATATCTCAATAACAACAGCTTAACTGGCACTATACCAGTCAAGATTGGTCAGTTAAAGTTCATAATCGACCTGGATCTTAGCAACAACAATTTTACTGGCATTATTCCCGACACAATATCTAACCTCACAAATTTAGAGAAATTGGATCTTTCCGGAAACAACCTCACCGGTCAAATCCCAGCATCGCTAAGGAATCTCCATTTCCTTTCCTTCTTTAGCGTCGCACACAATGACCTCGAGGGCCCGGTGCCCATCGGTGGTCAGTTCGACACATTCCCAGTCTCGAGCTTCGAAGGAAATCCGAGGCTTTGTGGTCGGATTTTGCAGCGTCCGTGCAATAATAATCAGTCGGGCAATACGAGGAATCCGAGAAGCGTGAAAAGGAAGAGGAAGAGAACCATTATATTAACACTTGTTATATCCTCGGCCATTTTCACCCTGATTCTGCTTCTGTACTTGTTTTTTACCAAGAGGAGGGTCATCCGGAGAGGTGAAATTGAGAAGGACATGGACACGATTTCATTCAACTCGTCGGGGGTATTTCCGGAAATTCCAAAGGAAACCAGCCTTGTCGTGCTTTTCCCTAGCAACAAGAGCAAGATACAGGACCTTACCGTGGCTGATATACTGAAGGCCACGGACAATTTCAACCAGTCAAACATAATCGGCTGTGGTGGGTTTGGATTGGTGTTCAAAGCAACTCTAGCCGACGGCACAAAACTTGCGATCAAGAAACTATCAGGAGACATGGGCTTGATGGAGAGGGAATTCAAGGCAGAGGTCGAGGCTCTATCGACAGCTCAGCACAAGAACCTCGTCACACTGCAGGGCTACTGTCTGCATGATGGATACAGATTGCTAATATACTCTTACATGGAGAACGGTAGCTTAGACTACTGGCTGCACGAGAAGCCTGATGGGGCAGCCCAGCTCAACTGGCCCACCCGTTTGAAAATCGCCCTAGGAACCAGCTGTGGGGTGGCTTACATGCACCAGGTATGTGAGCCCCACATAGTCCACCGTGATCTAAAGTCGAGCAACATTCTTCTCGATCACAATTTCGAGGCCCACGTGGCGGATTTCGGGCTCGCGAGGTTGATTTCACCGTACCATACACATGTCACCACAGAATTGGTGGGCACGCTCGGGTACATCCCGCCCGAGTACAACCAGTCGTGGGTAGCTACTCTAAGAGGGGATATGTACAGTTTTGGAGTTGTTATGCTCGAGCTGTTGACGGGAAAGAGGCCCGTCGAGCTTTTCAGGCCCAAGGCCTCGAGGGAACTGGTCGTGTGGGCACGGCAGATGAAAAATGAAGGGAGAGAAGAGGAGATCTTTGATCCTCTGTTGAGGGGGAAAGGGTTTGAGGATGAGATGGCCAAAGTGCTGGATGTCGCCATACGATGTGTCGACCAGAACCCTTGCAAAAGGCCAGCTATAAAAGAAGTCGTTGATTGGCTCAGGAGTGTGGGAGCCAACCAATAGACGACGTTGTAATGAAGGTGGCCATATACGTAAATACTGAAATCTAAATATGTGGTTTTGTCAGTGGTGTTGTAGTTTTACAGTCGACCTTCTTCTGTGGGCATTTTTTTTTTTGTTCCCCTTCAAAAGCAAAGATATGTGTGATGAGTATTTCTCGGTTGTACAGACAAATATTTTTTTGCATTTAAAAGAAATTCATTCATGGAATTATGATATGTGTGTGGAGTAGAAATTTGGTAACTGATAGTGTGAATTTCACATGTGGAAATTAAATTCGTCAATTTCGATTTTCGAATTGGATTAAACTTTCCACCGGAAAATGATGCAGGCACAGATACGAAAATCGGGAAATGCTTTCTGGTCATTATAATAGCAACCACCTCCTGATCTACGAACATTGACAGCACATTTAGCAGATCATGTATCTTTGTAATCAGTCCAAAAGAGTAGCTATATTTCCTCTACTTCCAAGGCTAAACTATACAGAAAACTGAAATACAAATGCATGATAACAGTGGACTCTCTTAAATGTGCTCCTTGGTAAGTTGGAATGTTATTGCTACAAAACTATAGAGGTTTGTGTTAATCATATGGGATCCAAATGGCTTCCTACATTTCAGCAAGAGGCTCCTTGAAGTTCACTTTGTTGATTGAAACTATTGTTCTACATCCAAACTTCTCAAATTTGTAAGTCATATGACTTTCACAATGAATTCTTAGTCAAAAAGTTTTTCCAAACCAAGAGTGATATCTTAGCTTGTTAGATAGGTAAAGAACCAACCGTGTCACCTTCAACATCACCCATACAATATATCGAGAGTACTTTTCGGAAGTAATACAACAGCAACAAACTATATATAGCCATTCACTTTCCTTTATCTATAAGTTCCAACGCATTTCTATATTTTGATGCATCTAATTATCAGCCTTTCAAAACTTTCAGCCAAGTACTAGTTACTTTCATGCCGTCGAACTTCCAAAACATCTACACTTCAAAACAATGCAGCAAAGACATGCAATCAACACATTCGGAAACTTAATTACATTGATACCGTTAAGCATATTCTAACACTACTTAAACATACAGTCATCATTCTCATCGGCTAATAACCGCAAAAATCAACAAAATTCTTCCTAACTTCGGCTACGTAAAAACCTCAAAAGGCAACACGCCTCTTTCTCACACACAACAATCTTCGAGCACAAGCAAAAAACCAGTTCTCACTCATTTCAAATGAAAATCATTCCAAAGCTCCAAACAACAACAATAACTCAACAAACAAAGATAAATATATTAAAAAATAAATCAATAGTGCTATAAATCTTGTTCGAGCTCAATAAATACAGATATTACCACAAGCAGATAGAGTTGGCGAAAAATTAAAAAAACACATCGTACCGTAACGTAGATCGAGAAGTTGTGCAAACCTTCATTTTCGTCGTGCTTAGCTTGAACGATCCATCTGCGTGAGAAAATGAGGATGAACACAGATGCAATTTGACCTCTAGGGCATGAATTTGGATGGTTTTTAATGGTGGGATATGGCTAAAAAGGCATGGAGGGAACTGCTGAAGAGGAGAGCAACCGTTTGATGTAGAAAACGAGAGCTGGAAGCTCGAGCTGGAAAAAAGCTTGAAAATTGAAATTTGCTTTAGTGAATTTAGTGGGCTTGTGGCTTGGAAGAAGTGTTGGCCCAGATAATGCCGTTAATCCATTTGTTACCAGGCTCTTGCAATTTGGGCCTGGTTTGCTGTTTTTCCACTTTTGCCCCTTAAAACATGAATTAAAAAAATATTTGTTGTCCTGTACATCTTCTATTATTATTATTATTATTATTATTATTATTATTAAACTTTCATAAAGCTGAAATTATATTTGTCATTAACTTTTCAGGATTTAATTTTTCCATTGAAATATTCATCAAGCACATCCTGACTTTTATAATGTAGGTTCATCACAATATTTTAAATATCAAATATGTGGCAATTCACTGATGATTGATTGAATTAATTGATACTTGACAATGAATAAAAATTTGAATTAGAAACTTTACTAATTGATTGGATTAGCTGGTTATATAGAATAAGTTGATAATTGTTTGATATGTCAAATGACTAATGTCGCAATCATTTATTTAAAAAAGTTTATATATTTAAATTTTTTTTGAACTATTTTTTAATATAAAAAGTATTTCAATTCACTGTTTTATAAAACAATAAAATTAAAAATTCCAATGTAACAAACTTTTATTTCGCTCTAAAACCTATAATTTTACCTCAATACTATACCTCAATACTACATGACCATTATTATATAGTGTCTCAAATACTAGATCGCATCAATCGACAATACCGGATTTATTAGTCCGATATAAATATAAATAAAATATTGAATTTTAAGATATTATCATATTGTACCGGAGTTGTTTCAAACGTATCGAACAAAATACCGATCAAGTATAAAAATTAATATATGTATATATATTTATAACTAAAAGTTAAAAATTTAATTTGTATTTTTATCTCATGGAGAAGTTGAGACTTAGTAAATGTAGTCATTAATTTTTTTACTTCTTTTATATTTGATATTAAATTTTATAAATGCTGTTAATTTTTCTACTATAGTAATACCAAGGATATTACCGTTTACAAGAAATATTGATATAATTATCAGTATGGTATATAAAACACTAATTATACTCATCATGTATATACAATCTAATTAAGATAATATTATTTTATATTTAAAAAATATTGCTAGAAGAAACCTCACTATTAGTAATCTAATATAAAACTACTCTTAATTTTGACCAAAACAACTTCTAAATTGTCACCAAAATTCTTAAAATTCCTATTCTAAAATTAAATTACAAGTTGTGCATGCAATACAATAATATGTTACCTTTTTTTTTTCAATTTGGTAAAGTCAATCAACTGAGNTTTATTTACAAATCTACATATATATAATTACTGGCAAGTTTCAATAAATTTTATTCAGCCAGTAATTAATAATAATATGAGTTCATTTAATAAAAGTAGGTGTTTATTTAATAAAAATATGTTCAACATTTAATAAAATTATGTAACTTTCAGTTACACAATTTATTTTTACTGGTACTATTCTGGATGGTGCCCATTTTTATAACACTTTTTTATGTCTTGATATATAAAATATTTTTATTTTTATTTTGATACTATATATTTTTTAGTATTATATAAATACATATTTTACAACTAATTAAGAATGACTACAAATATCTCTATTTTCTATTACAGTCATACAATAATAATTAAAAAATCAGATAGCTAGATACATCATATATTTTAAAAAATCAAATCACAGAGTCACCAGTCGAAGGATTTAACGATGATGATTTGTTGTGATGGAGATTCTGACGATAAAAAATCACGAATATTGTCTATAAATAAGTGTTTAATAACTTTTGGATTCGTTTTTTTAAATTATTCTTTTTCTCGTTTACTAACTTATGATTTTTATTTTATTCTATGTATATTTCTAATTACTTTCTCTTCTATTATATCGTTTTTTGTGTAAATGCACCGGATAAAATTAGTGTATACTATAATACAAGACATGAGCTAGCTTAAGCTAAGCATATGAATCCTTACATTATGTGTTTTGACGTGCCAATATTCTTTGATCAAACAAATAAATTAGACAGAACTTTGCACATTCAGATGCAGCGGAGAAATCGGGTTCGCCAATCTCACGACATAAAATCCTACGCTCACATTTCACTCAAATCCACTTTTACTCTTTATGCGATTTGGATTTTCGAATACGTAAAAGCGCGTTACAAGTAAACAATTGAGTTTAAAAAAAAAATAATAATAATAATTGGAGAATAAAGAAGAAAATATATAAGGTGATATTTTCTTCATGTTGTATATATTCTGCTTTTATTCATGATATGAATCATATGATCATGTTTTTGAACATATGTGATATCATTTTCCTGGCTAATTGGTTGGAAGTTCCTAATTAGTGTGATGGATTATGTTTTTTTCAAGGTAAAATATGTACAATAAATGTTGAATATTACTACCAATTGAATACTTGTTTTGTCTACTTCTTGTTTTTCTCTATTAATTTCATTTAAATAAACATATGAATTAATTTTCTCTCAAGTTCTTTTATATAGATAGACATTTTTAAGATTGAGGCCAAATTGTCTATTTGTTCGTTATTAGAAAAAAAAAAGAAAGAAAGAAATCAAAGTAGCTTCGTAATTTTAAAATTAATCAACTGAGAACACTTTTATCCAATATTTGAATTTCAGTCAGAAATTACATATCATATGCACGTGTTCACAAAACTTCTTGCCAAAAAATCAGATTTTTAATTAAAATCATCCTCAAATTGATTAATTAAATTAAAAATTACGGATTGCTGAGGATTGTGATGGCCACCAAACCACTTTTATTACCGTTAGTTTCAATAAACACGTACATAAATTTTTGGTGTCATATTTTGATAACTACAAGTACTATAGAAAGAAACTTAATTAAGAATGAAAAACATCACAACTTTATTCCGAATTCAATACTTCTTATTTCACAACTCGTTCCCCAATTTATTACACGACAATGCATCTTATTTTAGCTGAATTAAAGCACAAAGGAGGGGACTTAATTTGTTACACATAATACATACACTTCACACAATACTTTGATCAACATTCATGTTACATTCATCAATCTCCACTCAATCCCTCATCAATCACCTGAAATCCACATTGGTCCGAAAAATTTCCTCTATTAT